GCCAAGGAGAACGGAAACGCTCATTTCTCAAAAAGTAGAGGGAATCTAGCGGTCTCACTTGATCACAAGGTGGGAAATATATAAATCTAGTAAGCTAATAAGGTTCGAAAGGAATCTAATGCATATGTATATGGAAAATGGTGCATTGGCCAGGTCGGTCAGTATGGGAACTTAGAGTGCAAATGCCAGGGAGAACGGAAGCGCTCAGATCTCGCATAGTACACGGAATCTAGTGGTCTCACTCAAATAGAAGGTAGGAAATAAATTCATCTAGTGAACGTAAGGGTTTGAAAGGTAACTAACACACATGTGTAGAGAAAATGGAGCATCGGCCAGTCTGACTGGCATTTCGCACTTATAGTGCAAGTAGGGCCAAGGAGAACGGAAACGCTCATTTCTCAAAAAGTAAAGGGAATCTAGCAGTCTCACTCGATCAGAAGGTGGGAAATATATAAATCTAGTGAGCCAATAAGGTTCGAAAGGAATCTAATGCATATGTATATGGAAAATGGTGCATTGGCCAGGTCGGTCAGTATGGGAACTTAGAGTGCAAATGCCAGGGAGAACGGAAGCGCTCAGATCTCGCATAGTACACGGAATCTAGTGGTCTCACTCAAATAGAAGGTAGGAAATAAATTCATATAGTGAACGTAAGGGTTTGAAAGGTAACTAACGCACATGTGTAGAGAAAATGGAGCATCGGCCAGTCTGGCCGGCATTTCGCACTTATAGTGCAAGTAGGGCCAAGGAGAACGGAAACGCTCATTTCTCAAAAAGTAAAGGGAATCTAGCACTCTCACTCGATCAGAAGGTGGGAAATATATAAATCTAGTGAGCTTATAAGGTTCGAAAGGAATCTAATGCATATGTATATGGAAAATGGTGCATTGGCCAGGTCGGTCAGTATGGGAACTTAAAGTGCAAATGCCTGGGAGAACGGAACCGCTCAGATCTCGCATAATACACGGAATCTAGTGGTCTAACTCAAATATAAGGTAGGAAATATATTCATCTAGTGAACGTAAGGGTTTGAAAGGTAACTAACGCACATGTGTAGAGAAAATGGTGCATCGGCCAGTCTGGCCGGCATTTCGCACTCATAGTGCAGGTGGGGCCAGGGAGAACGGAAACGCTCGTTTCTCAAAAAGTAGAGGGAATCTAATGGTCTCACTCGATCAGAAGGTGGGAAATATATAAATCTAGTCAGCTAAAAAGGTTTGAAATGTATTCAACGCACATGTATAGAGAAAATGGTGCATTGGCCAGGTCGGTCAGTATCGGAACTTAAAATGCAAATGCCAGGGAGAACGGAAGCGCTCAGATCTCGCATAGTACACGGAATCAAGTGGTCTCACTCAAATAGAAAGTAGGAAATAAATTCATCTAGTGAACGTAAGGGTTTGAAAGGTAACTAACGCACATGTGTAGAGAAAATTGTGCATCGGCCAGTCTGGCCGGCATTTCGCACTTATAGTGCAACTAGGGCCAAGGAGAACGGAAACGCTCATTTCTCAAAAAGTAGAGGGAATCTAGCGGTCTCACTTGATCAGAAGGTGGGAAATATATAAATCTAGTAAGCTAATAAGGTTCGAAAGGAATCTAATGCATATGTATATGGAAAATGGTGCATTGGCCAGGTCGGTCAGTATGGGAACTTAGAGTGCAAATGCCAGGGAGAACGGAAGCGCTCAGATCTCGCATAGTACACGGAATCTAGTGGTCTCACTCAAATAGAAGGTAGGAAATAAATTCATCTAGTGAACGTAAGGGTTTGAAAGGTAACTAACACACATGTGTAGAGAAAATGGTGCATCGGCCAGTCTGACCGGCATTTCGCACTTATAGTGCAAGTAGGGCCAAGGAGAACGGAAACGCTCATTTCTCAAAAAGTAAAGGGAATCTAGCAGTCTCACTCGATCAGAAGGTGGGAAATATATAAATCTAGTGAGCCAATAAGGTTCGAAAGGAATCTAATGCATATGTATATGGAAAATGGTGCATTGGCCAGGTCGGTCAGTATGGGAACTTAGAGTGCAAATGCCAGGGAGAACGGAAGCGCTCAGATCTCGCATAGTACACGGAATCTAGTGGTCTCACTCAAATAGAAGGTAGGAAATAAATTCATCTAGTGAACGTAAGGGTTTGAAAGGTAACTAACGCACATGTGTAGAGAAAATGGAGCATCGGCCAGTCTGGCCGGCATTTCGCACTTATAGTGCAAGTAGGGCCAAGGAGAACGGAAACGCTCATTTCTCAAAAAGTAAAGGGAATCTAGCACTCTCACTCGATCAGAAGGTGGGAAATATATAAATCTAGTGAGCTTATAAGGTTCGAAAGGAATCTAATGCATATGTATATGGAAAATGGTGCATTGGCCAGGTCGGTCAGTATGGGAACTTAAAGTGCAAATGCCTGGGAGAACGGAACCGCTCAGATCTCGCATAATACACGGAATCTAGTGGTCTCACTCAAATATAAGGTAGGAAATATATTCATCTAGTGAACGTAAGGGTTTGAAAGGTAACTAACGCACATGTGTAGAGAAAATGGTGCATCGGCCAGTCTGGCCGGCATTTCACACTCATAGTGCAGGTGGGGCCAGGGAGAACGGAAACGCTCGTTTCTCAAAAAGTAGAGGGAATCTAATGGTCTCACTCGATCAGAAGGTGGGAAATATATAAATCTAGTCAGCTAAAAAGGTTTGAAATGTATTCAACGCACATGTATAGAGAAAATGGTGCATTGGCCAGGTCGGTCAGTATCGGAACTTAAAATGCAAATGCCAGGGAGAACGGAAGCGCTCAGATCTCGCATAGTACACGGAATCAAGTGGTCTCACTCAAATAGAAAGTAGGAAATAAATTCATCTAGTGAACGTAAGGGTTTGAAAGGTAACTAACGCACATGTGTAGAGAAAATTGTGCATCGGCCAGTCTGGCCGGCATTTTGCACTTATAGTGCAAGTAGGGCCAAGGAGAACGGAAACGCTCATTTCTCGAAAAGTAGAGTGAATCTAGCGGTCTCACTTGATCAGAAGGTGAGAAATATATAAATCTAGTAAGCTAATAAGGTTCGAAAGGAATCTAATGCATATGTATATGGAAAATGGTGCATTGGCCAGGTCGGTCAGTATGGGAACTTAGAGTGCAAATGCCAGGGAGAACGGAAGCGCTCAGATCTCGCATAGTACACGGAATCTAGTGGTCTCACTCAAATAGAAGGTATGAAATAAATTCATCTAGTGAACGTAAGGGTTTGAAAGGTAACTAACACACATGTGTAGAGAAAATGGTGCATCGGCCAGTCTGGTCGGCATTTCGCACTTATAGTGCAAGTAGGGCCAAGGAGAACGGAAACGCTCATTTCTCAAAAAGTAAAGGGAATCTAGCGGTCTCACTCGATCAGAAGGTGGGAAATATATAAATCTAGTCAGCTAATAAGGTTCGGAAGGAATCTAATGCATATGTATATGGAAAGTGGTGCATTGGCCAGGTCGGTCAGTATGGGAACTTAGAGTGCAAATGCCTGGGAGAACGGAACCGCTCAGATCTCGCATAATGCACGGAATCTAGTGGTCTCACTCAAACATAAGGTAGGAAATATATTCATCTAGTGAACGTAAGGGTTTGAAAGGTAACTAACGCACATGTGTAGAGAAAATGGTGCATCGGCCAGTCTGGCCGGCATTTCGCACTCATAGTGCAGGTGGGGCCAGAGAGAACGGAAACGCTCGTTTCTCAAAAAGTAGAGGGAATCTAATGGTCTCACTCGATCAGAAGGTGGGAAATATATAAATCTAGTCAGCTAAAAAGGTTTGAAATGTATTCAACGCACATGTATAGAGAAAATGGTGCATTGGCCAGGTCGGTCAGTATCGGAACTTAAAATGCAAATGCCAGGGAGAACGGAAGCGCTCAGATCTCGCATAGTACACGGAATCAAGTGGTCTCACTCAAATAGAAAGTAGGAAATCTATTCATCTAGTGAACGTAAGGGTTTGAAAGGTAACTAACGCACATGTGTAGAGAAAATTGTGCATCGGCCAGTCTGGCCGGCATTTCGCACTTATAGTGCAACTAGGGCCAAGGAGAACGGAAACGCTCATTTCTCAAAAAGTAGAGGGAATCTAGCGGTCTCACTCGATCAGAAGGTGGGAAATATATAAATCTAGTGAGCTAATAAGGTTCGAAAGGAATCTAATACATATGTATATGGAAAATGGTGCATTGGCTAGGTCGGTCAGTATGGGAACTTAGAGTGCAAATGACATGGACGTGGACGTGGACGTGGACGTGGACATGGACATGGACATGGACGTGGACATGGACGTAGACGTGGACATGGACGTGGATGTGGACATGGACGTGGAAGTGTCCATGTCCACGTCCACGTCCACGTCTATGTCCACGTCCACGTTCACGTCCACGTCCATGTCCATGTCCATGTCCACGTCCACGTCCATGTCCACGTCCACGTCCATGTCCAAGTCCATGTCCCTGTCTACGTCCACGTCCACGTCCATGTCCACGTCCACGTCCTCGTCCACGTCCAGGTCCACGTCCATGTCTACGTCCACGTCCACGTCCACGTCCATGTCCACGTCCAAGTCCATGTCCACGACCACGTCCACGTTCACGACCACGTCCACGTCCACGTCCACGTCCACGTCTAAGTCCATGTCCACGTCCACGTCCATGTCCACGTCCACGTCCATGTCCACGTCCACGTCCACGTCCATGTCCACGTCCATGTCCACGTCCACGTCCACGTCCACGTCCACGTCCACGTCCACGTCCACGTCCACTCCACGTCCACCTCCACGTCCACGTCCACCTCCACGTCCACGTCCACGTCCACGTCCACGTCCACGTCCACGTCCATGTCCATGTCCAGGTCCACGTTCACGTCCATGTCCACGTCCAAGTTCTCCACGTCCACGTCCACGTCCACGTCCACGTCCACGTCCATGTCCACGTCCACGTCCATGTCCACGTCCATGTTCACGTCCACGTCTTGTCCACGTCCACGTCCATGTCCACGTCCACGTCCACGTCCACGACCATGTCCGCGTCCACGTCCATGTCCACGTCCACGTCCATGTCCACGTCCATGTCCACGTCCACGTCCACGTCCACGTCCACGTCCACGTCCATGTCCACGTCCACGTCCACGTCCATGTCCACGTCCAAGTCCTCCACGTTCACGTCCACGTCCACGTTCACGTCCATGTCCACGTCCAAGTTCTCCACGTCCACGTCCACGTCCACGTCCTCCACGTCCACGTCCACGTCCACGTCCACGTCCATGTCCACGTCCACGTCCACTCCACGTCCACTCCACGTCCACGTCCACGTCCACGTCCACGTCCATGTCCACGCCCATGTCCACGTCCACGTCCACGTCCACGTCCACGTCCACGTCCACGTCCACGTCCACGTCCACGTCCATGTCCACGTCCACGTCCACGTCCACGTCCACGTCCACGTCACGTCCACGTCCACGTCACGTCCACATCCACGTCCATGTCAACGTCCACGTCCACGTCCACGTCCACTCCACGTCCACGTCCATGTCCACGTCCAAGTCCTCCACGTCCACGTCCACGTTCACGTCCATGTCCACGTCCAAGTTCTCCACATCCACGTCCACGTCCACGTCCACGTCCACGTCCTCCACGTCCACGTCCACGTCCACGTCCACGTCCACGTCCACGTCCACGTCTACGTCTACGTCCACGTCCATGTCTACGTCCACGTCCACGTCCATGTCCACGTCCACGTCCACGTCCACGTCCACGTCCACGTCCACGTCCATGTCCACGTCCACGTCCACGTCCATGTCGACGTCCACGTCCACGTCCACGTCCACGTCCACGTCCACGTCCACGTCCACGTCCACTCCACGTCCACCTCCACGTCCACGTCCACCTCCACGTCCACGTCCACGTCCACGTCCACGTCCACGTCCACGTCCACGTCCATGTCCACGTCCATGTCCACGTCCAAGTTCTCCACGTCCACGTTCTCCACGTCCACGTCCACGTCCACGTCCACGTCCACGTCCACGTCCATGTCCACGTCCACGTCCATGTCCACGTCCATGGTCACGTCCACGTCTTGTTCACGTCCACGTCCATGTCCACGTCCACGTCCACGTCCACGTCCACGACCATGTCCACGTCCACGTCCATGTCCACGTCCACGTCCACGACCACGTCCATGTCCAGGTCCATGTCCACGTCCACGTCCACGTCCACGTCCATGTCCACGTCCACGTCCACGTCCACGTCCACGTCCATGTCCACGTCCACGTCCACGTCCATGTCCACGTCCAAGTCCTCCACGTCCACGTCCACGTCCACGTTCACGTCCATGTCCACGTCCAAGTTCTCCATGTCCACGTCCACGTCCACGTCCACGTCCTCCACGTCCACGTCCACGTCCACGTCCACGTCCACGTCCACGTCCACGTCCACGTCCATGTCCACGTCCACGTCCACGTCCACGTCCTCTCCACGTCCACCTCCACGTCCACGTCCACCTCCACGTCCACGTCCACGTCCACGTCCACGTCCACGTCCATGTCCACGTCCAGGTCCACGTTCACGTCCATTTCCACGTCCAAGTTCTCCACGTCCACGTCCACGTCCAAGTCCACGTCCACGTCCATGTCCACGTCCACGTCCATGTCCACGTCCATGTTCACGTCCACGTCTTGTTCACGTCCACGTCCATGTCCACGTCCACGTCCACGTCCACGTCCACGACCATGTCCACGTCCACGTCCATGTCCACGTCCACGTCCACGTCCACGTCCATGTCCAAGTCCATGTCCACGTCCACTTCCACGTCCACGTCCATGTCCACGTCCACGTCCACGTCCACGTCCACGTCCATGTCCACGTCCATGTCCACGTCCACGTCCACGTCCATGTCCACGTCCAAGTCCTCCACGTCCACGTCCACGTCCACGTTCACGTCCATGTCCACGTCCACGTCCACGTCCACGTCCACGTCCACGTCCACGTCCTCCACGTCCACGTCCACGTCCACGTCCACGTCCACGTCCACGTCCATGTCCACGTCCACGTCCACTCCACGTCCACTCCACGTCCACGTCCATGTCCACGTCCACGTCCACGTCCATGTCCACGTCCATGTCCACGTCCACGTCCACGTCCATGTCCACGTCCATGTCCACGTCCACGTCCACGTCCACCTCCACGTCCACGTCCACGTCCACGTCCACGTCCACGTCCACGTCACGTCCACGTCCACGTCCATGTCCACGTCCACGTCCACGTCAACGTCCACGTCCACGTCCACGTCCACTCCACGTCCACGTCCATGTCCACGTCCAAGTCCTCCACGTCCACGTCCACGTTCACGTCCATGTCCACGTCCAAGTTCTCCACGTCCACGTCCACGTCCACGTCCTCCACGTCCACGTCCACGTCCACGTCCACGTCCATGTCCACGTCCACGTCCACGTCTACGTCTACGTCCACGTCCATGTCCACGTCCACGTCCACGTCCACGTCCATGTCCACGTCCATGTCCACGTCCACGTCCACGTCCACGTCCACGTCCACGTCGACGTCGACGTCCACTCCATGTCCACCTCCACGTCCACCTCCACCTCCACGTCCACCTCCACGTCCACGTCCACGTCCACGTCCACGTCCACGTCCACGTCCATGTCCACGTCCACGTCCATGTCCACGTCCATGTTCACGTCCACGTCTTGTTCACGTCCACGTCCATGTCCACGTCCACGTCCACGTCCACGTCCACGTCCACGTCCATGTCCACGTCCACGTCCACGTCCATGTCCACGTCCAAGTCCTCCACGTCCACGTCCACGTCCACGTTCACGTCCATGTCCACGTCCAAGTTCTCCACGTCCACGTCCACGTCCACGTCCACGTCCACGTCCTCCACGTCCACGTCCACGTCCACGTCCACGTCCACGTCCACGTCCACGTCCACGTCCACGTCCACTCCACGTCCACTCCACGTCCACGTCCACGTCCACGTCCACGTCCACGTCCATGTCCACGTCCATGTCCACGTCCACGTCCACGTCCATGTCCACGTCCATGTCCACGTCCACGTCCACGTCCACCTCCATGTCCACGTCCACGTCCACCTCCATGTCCACGTCCACGTCCACGTCACGTCCACGTCCATGTCCACGTCCACGTCCACGTCAACGTCCACGTCCACGTCTACGTCCACTCCACGTCCACGTCCACGTCCACTCCACGTCCACGTCCATGTCCACGTCCAAGTCCTCCACGTCCACGTCCACGTTCACGTCCATGTCCACGTCCAAGTTCTCCACGTCCACGTCCACGTCCACGTCCACGTCCACGTCCACGTCCTCCACGTCCACGTCCACGTCCACGTCCACGTCTACGTCTACGTCCACGTCCATGTACACGTCCACGTCCACGTCCATGTCCACGTCCATGTCCACGTCCACGTCCACGTCCACGTCCACGTCCACTCCACGTCCACCTCCACGTCCACGTCCACCTCCACGTCTACGTCCACCTCCACGTCCACGTCCACGTCCACGTCGACGTCCAAGTCCACGTCCATGTCCACGTCCACGTCCATGTCCACGTCCATGTTCACGTCCACGTCTTGCTCACGTCCACGTCCATGTCCACGTCCACGTCCACGTCCACGTCCACGTCCACGTCCATGTCCACGTCCACGTCCACGTCCATGTCCACGTCCATGTCCACGTCCACGTCCACGTCCACGTCCACTCCACGTCCACCTCCACGTCCACGTCCACCTCCACGTCCACGTCCACGTCCACGTCCACGTCCACGTCCACGTCCACGTCCATGTCCACGTCCATGTTCACGTCCACGTCCATGTCCACGTCCACGTCCACGTCCATGTCCACGTCCACGTCCATGTCCACGTCCATGTTCACGTCCACGTCCATGTCCACGTCCACGTCCATGTCCACGTCCATGTTCACGTCCACGTCCATGTTCACGTCCACGTCCACGTCCACGTCCACGTCCATGTCCACGTCCACGTCCATGTCCACGTCCATGTCCACGTCCACGTCCACGTCCACGTCCACGTCCACGTCCATGTCCACGTCCACGTCCATGTCCACGTCCATGTCCACGTCCACGTCCACGTCCATGTCCACGTCCACGTCCACGTCCACGTCCATGTCCACGTCCACGTCCACGTCCACATCCACGTCCACGTCCACGTCCACGTCCACGTCCACGTCCACTCCACGTCCACCTCCACGTCCACGTCCACCTCCACGTCCACCTCCACGTCCACGTCCACGTCCACGTCCACGACCATGTCCACGTCCACGTCCATGTCCACGTCCACGTCCACGACCACGTCCATGTCCAGGTCCATGTCCACGTCCACGTCCACGTCCACGTCCATGTCCACGTCCACGTCCACGTCCACGTCCACGTCCACGTCCACGTCCATGTCCACGTCCACGTCCACGTCCATGTCCACGTCCAAGTCCTCCACGTCCACGTCCACGTCCACGTTCACGTCCATGTCCACGTCCAAGTTCTCCATGTCCACGTCCACGTCCACGTCCACGTCCTCCACGTCCACGTCCACGTCCACGTCCACGTCCACGTCCATGTCCACGTCCACGTCCACGTCTACGTCCACGTCCTCTCCACGTCCACCTCCACGTCCACGTCCACCTCCACGTCCACGTCCACGTCCACGTCCACGTCCACGTCCATGTCCACGTCCAGGTCCACGTTCACGTCCATTTCCACGTCCAAGTTCTCCACGTCCACGTCCACGTCCAAGTCCACGTCCACGTCCACGTCCATGTCCACGTCCACGTCCATGTCCACGTCCATGTTCACGTCCACGTCTTGTTCACGTCCACGTCCATGTTCACGTCCACGTCCACGTCCACGTCCACGTCCATGTCCACGTCCATGTCCACGTCCACGTCCATGTCCACGTCCAAGTCCTCCACGTCCACGTCCACGTCCACGTTCACGTCCATGTCCACGTCCACGTCCACGTCCACGTCCACGTCCACGTCCACGTCCTCCACGTCCACGTCCACGTCTACGTCCACGTCCACGTCCACGTCCATGTCCACGTCCACGTCCACTCCACGTCCACTCCACGTCCACGTCCATGTCCACGTCCACGTCCACGTCCATGTCCACGTCCATGTCCACGTCCACGTCCACGTCCATGTCCACGTCCATGTCCACGTCCACGTCCACGTCCACCTCCACGTCCACGTCCACGTCCACGTCCACGTCCACGTCCACGTCACGTCCACGTCCACGTCCATGTCCACGTCCACGTCCACGTCAACGTCCACGTCCACGTCCACGTCCACTCCACGTCCACGTCCATGTCCACGTCCAAGTCCTCCACGTCCACGTCCACGTTCACGTCCATGTCCACGTCCAAGTTCTCCACGTCCACGTCCACGTCCACGTCCACGTCCACGTCCTCCACGTCCACGTCCACGTCCACGTCCACGTCCATGTCCACGTCCACGTCCACGTCTACGTCTACGTCCACGTCCATGTCCACGTCCACGTCCACGTCCACGTCCATGTCCACGTCCATGTCCACGTCCACGTCCACGTCCACGTCCACGTCCACGTCGACGTCGACGTCCACTCCATGTCCACCTCCACGTCCACCTCCACCTCCACGTCCACCTCCACGTCCACCTCCACGTCCACGTCCACGTCCACGTCCACGTCCATGTCCACGTCCACGTCCATGTCCACGTCCATGTTCACGTCCACGTCTTGTTCACGTCCACGTCCATGTCCACGTCCACGTCCACGTCCACGTCCACGTCCATGTCCACGTCCACGTCCACGTCCATGTCCACGTCCAAGTCCTCCACGTCCACGTCCACGTCCACGTTCACGTCCATGTCCACGTCCAAGTTCTCCACGTCCACGTCCACGTCCACGTCCACGTCCACGTCCACGTCCTCCACGTCCACGTCCACGTCCACGTCCACGTCCACGTCCACGTCCACGTCCACGTCCACTCCACGTCCACTCCACGTCCACGTCTTCGTCCACGTCCACGTCCACGTCCATGTCCACGTCCATGTCCACGTCCACGTCCACGTCCATGTCCACGTCCATGTCCACGTCCACGTCCACGTCCACCTCCATGTCCACGTCCACGTCCACCTCCATGTCCACGTCCACGTCCACGTCACGTCCACGTCCATGTCCACGTCCACGTCCACGTCAACGTCCACGTCCACGTCTACGTCCACTCCACGTCCACGTCCACGTCCACTCCACGTCCACGTCCATGTCCACGTCCAAGTCCTCCACGTCCACGTCCACGTTCACGTCCATGTCCACGTCCAAGTTCTCCACGTCCACGTCCACGTCCACGTCCACGTCCACGTCCACGTCCTCCACGTCCACGTCCACGTCCACGTCCACGTCCACGTCCACGTCCACGTCTACGTCTACGTCCACGTCCATGTACACGTCCACGTCCACGTCCATGTCCACGTCCATGTCCACGTCCACGTCCACGTCCACGTCCACGTCCACTCCACGTCCACCTCCACGTCCACGTCCACCTCCACGTCTACGTCCACCTCCACGTCCACGTCCACGTCCACGTCGACGTCCACGTCCACGTCCATGTCCACGTCCACGTCCATGTCCACGTCCATGTTCACGTCCACGTCTTGCTCACGTCCACGTCCATGTCCACGTCCACGTCCACGTCCACGTCCACGTCCATGTCCACGTCCACGTCCACGTCCATGTCCACGTCCATGTCCACGTCCACGTCCACGTCCACGTCCACTCCACGTCCACCTCCACGTCCACGTCCACCTCCACGTCCACGTCCACGTCCACGTCCACGTCCACGTCCACGTCCATGTCCTTGTCCATGTTCACGTCCACGTCCATGTCCACGTCCACGTCCACGTCCATGTCCACGTCCACGTCCATGTCCACGTCCATGTTCACGTCCACGTCCATGTCCACGTCCACGTCAATGTCCACGTCCATGTTCACGTCCACGTCCATGTTCACGTCCACGTCCACGTCCACGTCCACGTCCATGTCCACGTCCACGTCCATGTCCACGTCCATGTCCACGTCCACGTCCACGTCCACGTCCACGTCCACGTCCATGTCCACGTCCACGTCCATGTCCACGTCCATGTCCACGTCCACGTCCACGTCCATGTCCACGTCCACGTCCACGTCCACGTCCATGTCCACGTCCACGTCCACGTCCACGTCCACATCCACGTCCACGTCCACGTCCACGTCCACGTCCACGTCCACTCCACGTCCACCTCCACGTCCACGTCCACCTCCACGTCCACCTCCACGTCCACGTCCACGTCCACGTCCACGACCATGTCCACGTCCACGTCCATGTCCACGTCCACGTCCACGACCACGTCCATGTCCAGGTCCATGTCCACGTCCACGTCCACGTCCACGTCCATGTCCACGTCCACGTCCACGTCCACGTCCACGTCCACGTCCATGTCCACGTCCACGTCCACGTCCATGTCCACGTCCAAGTCCTCCACGTCCACGTCCACGTCCACGTTCACGTCCATGTCCACGTCCAAGTTCTCCATGTCCACGTCCACGTCCACGTCCACGTCCTCCACGTCCACGTCCACGTCCACGTCCACGTCCATGTCCACGTCCACGTCCACGTCTACGTCCACGTCCTCTCCACGTCCACCTCCACGTCCACGTCCACCTCCACGTCCACGTCCACGTCCACGTCCACGTCCACGTCCACGTCCAGGTCCACGTTCACGTCCATTTCCACGTCCAAGTTCTCCACGTCCACGTCCACGTCCAAGTCCACGTCCACGTCCATGTCCACGTCCACGTCCATGTCCACGTCCATGTTCACGTCCACGTCTTGTTCACGTCCACGTCCATGTCCACGTCCACGTCCACGTCCACGTCCACGACCATGTCCACGTCCACGTCCATCTCCACGTCCACGTCCACGTCCACGTCCATGTCCAAGTCCATGTCCACGTCCACGTCCACGTCCACGTCCATGTCCACGTCCACGTCCACGTCCACGTCCACGTCCACGTCCATGTCCACGTCCATGTCCACGTCCACGTCCATGTCCACGTCCAAGTCCTCCACGTCCACGTCCACGTCCACGTTCACGTCCATGTCCACGTCCACGTCCACGTCCACGTCCACGTCCACGTCCTCCACGTCCACGTCCACGTCCACGTCCACGTCCACGTCCACGTCCACGTCCATGTCCACGTTCACGTCCACTCCACGTCCACTCCACGTCCACGTCCATGTCCACGTCCACGTCCACGTCCATGTCCACGTCCATGTCCACGTCCACGTCCACGTCCATGTCCACGTCCATGTCCACGTCCACGTCCACCTCCACGTCCACGTCCACGTCCACGTCCACGTCCACGTCACGTCCACGTCCACGTCCATGTCCACGTCCACGTCCACGTCAACGTCCACGTCCACGTCCACGTCCACTCCACGTCCACGTCCATGTCCACGTCCAAGTCCTCCACGTCCACGTCCACGTTCACGTCCATGTCCACGTCCAAGTTCTCCACGTCCACGTCCACGTCCACGTCCACGTCCTCCACGTCCACGTCCACGTCCACGTCCACATCCATGTCCACGTCCACGTCCACGTCTACGTCTACGTCCACGTCCATGTCCACGTCCACGTCCACGTCCACGTCCATGTCCACGTCCATGTCCACGTCCACGTCCACGTCCACGTCCACGTCCACGTCCACGTCCACGTCCACGTCCACGTCGATGTCGACGTCCACTCCATGTCCACCTCCACGTCCACCTCCACCTCCACGTCCACCTCCACGTCCACCTCCACGTCCACGTCCACGTCCACGTCCACGTCCATGTCCACGTCCACGTCCATGTCCACGTCCATGTTCACGTCCACGTCTTGTTCACGTCCACGTCCATGTCCACGTCCACGGCCACGTCCATGTCCACGTCCACGTCCATGTCCACGTCCACGTCCACGTCCATGTCCACGTCCAAGTCCTCCACGTCCACGTCCACGTCCACGTTCACGTCCATGTCCACGTCCAAGTTCTCCACGTCCACGTCCACGTCCACGTCCACGTCCACGTCCTCCACGTCCACGTCCACGTCCACGTCCACGTCCACGTCCACGTCCACGTCCACTCCACGTCCACTCCACGTCCACGTCCACGTCCACGTCCACGTCCACGTCCATGTCCACGTCCATGTCCACGTCCACGTCCACGTCCATGTCCACGTCCATGTCCACGTCCACGTCCACGTCCACCTCCATGTCCACGTCCACGTCCACCTCCACGTCCACGTCCACGTCCACGTCCATGTCCACGTCCACGTCCACGTCCACGTCCATGTCCACGTCCACGTCCACGTCCACGTCCACATCCACGTCCACGTCCACGTCCACGTCCACGTCCACGTCCACTCCACGTCCACCTCCACGTCCACGTCCACCTCCACGTCCACCTCCACGTCCACGTCCACGTCCACGTCCACGACCATGTCCACGTCCACGTCCATGTCCACGTCCACGTCCACGACCACGTCCATGTCCAGGTCCATGTCCACGTCCACGTCCACGTCCACGTCCATGTCCACGTCCACGTCCACGTCCACGTCCACGTCCATGTCCACGTCCACGTCCACGTCCATGTCCACGTCCAAGTCCTCCACGTCCACGTCCACGTCCACGTTCACGTCCATGTCCACGTCCAAGTTCTCCATGTCCACGTCCACGTCCACGTCCACGTCCTCCACGTCCACGTCCACGTCCACGTCCACGTCCACGTCCACGTCCATGTCCACGTCCACGTCCACGTCTACGTCCACGTCCTCTCCACGTCCACCTCCACGTCCACGTCCACCTCCACGTCCACGTCCACGTCCACGTCCACGTCCACGTCCATGTCCACGTCCAGGTCCACGTTCACGTCTATTTCCACGTCCAAGTTCTCCACGTCCACGTCCACGTCCAAGTCCACGTCCACGTCCATGTCCACGTCCACGTCCATGTCCACGTCCATGTTCACGTCCACGTCTTGTTCACGTCCACGTCCATGTCCACGTCCACGTCCACGTCCACGTCCACGACCATGTCCACGTCCACGTCCATCTCCACGTCCACGTCCACGTCCACGTCCATGTCCAAGTCCATGTCCACGTCCACGTCCACGTCCACGTCCATGTCCACGTCCACGTCCACGTCCACGTCCACGTCCACGTCCATGTCCACGTCCATGTCCACGTCCACGTCCACGTCCATGTCCACGTCCAAGTCCTCCACGTCCACGTCCACGTCCACGTTCACGTCCATGTCCACGTCCACGTCCACGTCCACGTCCACGTCCACGTCCTCCACGTCCACGTCCACGTCCACGTCCACGTCCACGTCCACGTCCATGTCCACGTCCACGTCCACTCCACGTCCACTCCACGTCCACGTCCATGTCCACGTCCACGTCCACGTCCATGTCCACGTCCATGTCCACGTCCACGTCCACGTCCATGTCCACGTCCATGTCCACGTCCACGTCCACCTCCACGTCCACGTCCACGTCCACGTCCACGTCCACGTCACGTCCACGTCCACGTCCATGTCCACGTCCACGTCCACGTCAACGTCCACGTCCACGTCCACGTCCACTCCACGTCCACGTCCATGTCCACGTCCAAGTCCTCCACGTCCACGTCCACGTTCACGTCCATGTCCACGTCCAAGTTCTCCACGTCCACGTCCACGTCCACGTCCACGTCCTCCACGTCCACGTCCACGTCCACGTCCACATCCATGTCCACGTCCACGTCCACGTCTACGTCTACGTCCACGTCCATGTCCACGTCCACGTCCACGTCCACGTCCATGTCCACGTCCATGTCCACGTCCACGTCCACGTCCACGTCCACGTCCACGTCCACGTCCACGTCCACGTCCACGTCGATGTCGACGTCCACTCCATGTCCACCTCCACGTCCACCTCCACCTCCACGTCCACCTCCACGTCCACCTCCACGTCCACGTCCACGTCCACGTCCACGTCCATGTCCACGTCCACGTCCATGTCCACGTACATGTTCACGTCCACGTCTTGTTCACGTCCACGTCCATGTCCACGTCCACGGCCACGTCCATGTCCACGTCCACGTCCATGTCCACGTCCACGTCCACGTCCATGTCCACGTCCAAGTCCTCCACGTCCACGTCCACGTCCACGTTCACGTCCATGTCCACGTCCAAGTTCTCCACGTCCACGTCCACGTCCACGTCCACGTCCACGTCCTCCACGTCCACGTCCACGTCCACGTCCACGTCCACGTCCACGTCCACGTCCACTCCACGTCCACTCCACGTCCACGTCCACGTCCACGTCCACGTCCACGTCCATGTCCACGTCCATGTCCACGTCCACGTCCACGTCCATGTCCACGTCCATGTCCACGTCCACGTCCACGTCCACCTCCATGTCCACGTCCACGTCCACCTCCATGTCCACGTCCACGTCCACGTCACGTCCACGTCCATGTCCACGTCCACGTCCACGTCAACGTCCACGTCCACGTCCACGTCCACTCCACGTCCACGTCCACGTCCACTCCACGTCCACGTCCATGTCCACGTCCAAGTCCTCCACGTCCACGTCCACGTTCACGTCCATGTCCACGTCCAAGTTCTCCACGTCCACGTCCACGTCCACGTCCTCCACGTCCACGTCCACGTCCTCCACGTCCACGTCCACGTCCACGTCCACGTCCACGTCTACGTCCACGTCCATGTACACGTCCACGTCCACGTCCATGTCCACGTCCATGTCCACGTCCACGTCCACGTCCACGTCCACGTCCACTCCACGTCCACCTCCACGTCCACGTCCACCTCCACGTCCACGTCCACCTCCACGTCCACGTCCACGTCCACGTCCACGTCCACGTCCACGTCCATGTCCACGTCCACGTCCACGTCCACGTGCATGTCCACGTCCATGTCCACGTCCACGTCCACGTCCACGTCCACGTCCACTCCACGTCCACCTCCACGTCCACGTCCACCTCCACGTCCACGTCCACGTCCACGTCCACGTCCATGTCCACGTCCATGTTCACGTCCACGTCCATGTCCACGTCCACGTCCACGTCCATGTCCACGTCCACGTCCATGTCCACGTCCATGTTCACGTCTACGTCCATGTCCACGTCCACGTCCATGTCCACGTCCATGTTCACGTCCACGTCCATGTCCACGTCCACGTCCACGTCCACGTCCACGTCCACGTCCATGTCCACGTCCACGTCCATGTCCACGTCCATGTCCACGTCCACGTCCACGTCCACGTCCACGTCCATGTCCACGTCCACGTCCATGTCCACGTCCACGTCCACGTCCATGTCCACGTCCACGTCCACGTCCACGTCCACGTCCATGTCCACGTCCAAGTCCTCCACGTCCAAGTCCTCCACGTCCACGTCCATGTCCACGTCCAAGTTCTCCACGTCCACGTCCACGTCCACGTCCACGTCCTCCATGTCCACGTCCACGTCCACGTCCACGTCCACGTCCACGTCCACGTCCACGTCCATGTCCACGTCCACGTCCACTCCACGTCCACTCCACGTCCACGTCCACGTCCACGTCCATGTCCACGTCCATGTCCACGTCCACGTCCACGTCCATGTCCACGTCCATGTCCACGTCCACGTCCACGTCCACCTCCATGTCCACGTCCACGTCCACGTCCACGTCCATGTCCACGTCCACGTCCACGTCCACGTCACGTCCACGTCCACGTCCATGTCCACGTCCACGTCCACGTCAACGTCCACGTCCACGTCCACGTCCACTCCACGTCCACGTCCATGTCCACGTCCAAGTCCTCCACGTCCACGTCCACGTCCACGTTCACGTCCATGTCCACGTCCAAGTTCTCCACGTCCACGTCCACGTCCACGTCCACGTCCATGTCCTCCACGTCCACGTCCACGTCCACGTCCATGTCCACGTCCACGTCCACGTCTACGTCTACGTCCACGTCCATGTCCACGTCCACGTCCACGTCCACGTCCATGTCCACGTCCATGTCCACGTCCACGTCCACGTCCACGTCCACGTCCACCTCCACGTCCACGTCCACGTCCACGTCCACTCCTCGTCCACCTCCACGTCCACGTCCACCTCCACGTCCACGTCCACGTCCACGTCCACGTCCACGTCCATGTCCACGTCCAGGTCCACATTCACGTCCATGTCCACGTCCAAGTTCTCCACGTCCACGTCCACGTCCACGTCCACGTCCATGTCCACGTCCACGTCCATGTCCACGTCCATGTTCACGTCCACGTCTTGTTCACGTCCACGTCCATGTCCACGTCCACGTCCACCCACGTCCACGTCCATGTCCACGTCCACGTCCACACGTCCACGTCCACGTCCACGTCCACGTCTATGTCCACGTCCACGTCCACGTCCACGTCCATGTCCACGTCCACGTCCACGTCCATGTCCACGTCCAAGTCCTCCACGTCCACGTCCACGTCCACGTTCACGTCCATGTCTACGTCCAAGTTCTCCACGTCCACGTCCACGTCCACGTCCATGTCCTCCACGTCCACGTCCATGTCCTCCACGTCCACGTCCACGTCCACGTCCACGTCCATGTCCACGTCCACGTCCACTCCACGTCCACTCCACGTCCACGTCTACGTCCACGTCCACGTCCATGTCCACGTCCATGTCCACGTCCACGTCCACGTCCACGTCCATGTCCACGTCCATGTCCACGTCCACGTCCACGTCCACCTCCATGTCCACGTCCACGTTCACGTCCATGTCCACGTCCACGTCCACGTCACGTCCACGTCCATGTCCACGTCCACGTCCACGTCACATCCACGTCCAGGTCCACGTCCACTCCACGTCCACGTCCATGTCCACGTCCAAGTCCTCCACGTCCACGTCCACGTCCACGTTCACGTCCATGTCCACATCCAAGTTCTCCACGTTTACGTCCACGTCCACGTCCACGTCCTCCACGTCCACGTCCACGTCCACGTCCACGTCCATGTCCACGTCCATGTCCACGTCCACGTCCACGTCCACGTCCACGTCCATGTCCACCTCCACGTCCACGTCCACGTCCACATCCACGTCCACGTCCACGTCCACGTCCACGTCCACGTCCACTCCACGTCCACCTCCACGTCCACGTCCACCTCCACGTCCACCTCCACGTCCACATCCACGTCCACGTCCACGTCCATGTCCACGTCCAGGTCCACGTTCACGTCCATGTCCACGTCCAAGTTCTCCACGTCCACGTCCACGTCCACGTCCACGTCCACGTCCTCGTCCACGTCCATGTCCACGTCCACGTCCATGTCCACGTCCATGTTTACGTCCACGTCTTGTTCACGTCCACGTCCATGTCCACGTCCACGTCCACGTCCACGTCCACGTCCACGACCATGTCCACGTCCACGTCCATGTCCACGTCCACGTCCACGTCCATGTCCAGGTCCATGTCCACGTCCACGTCCACGTCCACGTCCATGTCCACGTCCACGTCCACGTCCACGTCCACGTCCACGTCCACGTCCACGTCCACGTCCACGTTCACGTCCATGTCCACGTCCAAGTTCTCCACGTCCACGTCCACGTCCACGTCCTCCACGTCCACGTCCGCGTCCACGTCCGCGTCCACGTCCGCGTCCACGTCCAGGTCCACGTTCACGTCCATGTCCACGTCCAAGTTCTCCACGTCCACGTCCACGTCCACGTCCACGTCCATGTCCACGTCCACGTCCATGTCCACGTCCATGTTCACGTCCACGTCTTGTTCACGTCCACGTCCATGTCCACGTCCACGTCCACGTCCACGTCCACGTCCACGACCATGTCCACGTCCACGTCGATGTCCACGTCCACGTCCACGTCTACGTCCATGTCCAGGTCCACGTCCACGTCCACGTCCACGTCCACGTCACGTCCACGTCCAGGTCCACGTCCACGTCACGTCCACGTCCACGTCCATGTCCACGTCCACGTCCACGTCCATGTCCACGTCCACGTCCACATCAACGTCCACGTCCACGTCCACGTCCACTCCACGTCCACGTCCATGTCCACGTCCAAGTCCTCCACGTCCACGTCCACGTTCACGTCCATGTCCACGTCCAAGTTCTCCACGTCCACGTCCACGTCCACGTCCACGTCCACGTCCTCCACGTCCACGTCCACGTCCACGTCCAAGTCCACGTCCACGTCCACGTCTACGTCTACGTCCACGTCCATGTCCACGTCCACGTCCACGTCCACGTCCATGTCCACGTCCATGTCCACGTCCACGTCCACGTCCACGTCCACGTCCACGTCCATGTCCACGTCCATGTCCAGGTCCACGTCCACGTCCACGTCCACGTCCATGTCCACGTCCACGTCCACGTCCACGTCCACGTCCACGTCCATGTCCACGTCCACGTCCACGTCCATGTCCACGTCCAAGTCCTCCACGTCCACGTCCACGTCCACGTTCACGTCCATGTCCACGTCCAGGTTCTCCACGTCCACGTCCACGTCCACGTCCTCCACGTCCACGTCCACGTCCACGTCCACGTCCACGTCCACGTCCTCCACGTCCACGTCCACATCCACGTCCACGTCCACGTCCACGTCCACATCCACGTCCACGTCCACGTCCATGTCCACGTCCACGTCCACTCCACGTCCACTCCACGTCCACGTCCACGTCCACGTCCACGTCCACGTCCACGTCCATGTCCACGTCCACGTCCACGTCCACGTCCACGTCCACGTCCACGTCCACGTTCACGTCCACTCCACGTCCACGTCCGCGTCCACGTCCACCTCCACGTCCGCGTCCACGTCCACGTCCACGTCCGCGTCCACGTCCGCGAAGTTCTCCGCGTCCACGTCCAGGTCCACGTTCACGTCCATGTCCACGTCCAAGTTCTCCACGTCCACGTCCACGTCCACGTCCACGTCCATGTCCACGTCCACGTCCATGTCCACGTCCATGTTCACGTCCACGTCTTGTTCACGTCCACGTCCATGTCCACGTCCACGTCCACGTCCACGACCATGTCCACGTCCACGTCCATGTCCACGTCCACGTCCACATCCACGTCCATGTCCAGGTCCACGTCCACGTCCACGTCCACGTCCACGTCCACGTCACGTCCACGTCCAGGTCCACGTCCACGTCACGTCCACGTCCACGTCCATGTCCAGGTCCACGTCCACGTCCACGTCCACGTCCACGTCACGTCCACGTCCAGGTCCACGTCCACGTCACGTCCACGTCCACGTCCATGTCCACGTCCACGTCCACATCAACGTCCACGTCCACGTCCACGTCCACTCCACGTCCACGTCCATGTCCACGTCCAAGTCCTCCACGTCCACGTCCACGTTCACGTCCATGTCCACGTCCAAGTTCTCCACGTCCACGTCCACGTCCACGTCCACGTCCACGTCCTCCACGTCCACGTCCACGTCCACGTCCACGTCCATGTCCACGTCCACGTCCACGTCTACGTCTACGTCCACGTCCATGTCCACGTCCACGTCCACGTCCACGTCCATGTCCACGTCCATGTCCACGTCCACGTCCACGTCCACGTCCACGTCCACGTCCATGTCCAGGTCCACGTCCACGTCCACGTCCACGTCCACGTCCACGTCCACTCCACGTCCACGTCCACGTCCACGTCTACGTCTACGTCCACGTCCATGTCCACGTCCACGTCCACGTCCACGTCCATGTCCACGTCCATGTCCACGTCCACGTCCACGTCCACGTCCACGTCCACGTCCATGTCCAGGTCCACGTCCAGGTCCACGTCCACGTCACGTCCACGTCCACGTCCATGTCCACGTCCACGTTCACATCAACGTCCACGTCCACGTCCACGTCCACTCCACGTCCACGTCCATGTCCACGTCCAAGTCCTCCACGTCCACGTCCACGTTCACGTCCATGTCCACGTCCAAGTTCTCCACGTCCACGTCCACGTCCACGTCCACGTCCACGTCCTCCACGTCCACGTCCACGTCCACGTCCACGTCCATGTCCACGTCCACGTCCACGTCTACGTCTACGTCCACGTCCATGTCCACGTCCACGTCCACGTCCACGTCCATGTCCAGGTCCACGTCCACGTCCACGTCCACGTCCACGTCCACGTCCATGTCCACGTCCACGTCCACGTCCACGTCCACGTCCATGTCCACGTCCACGTCCACGTCCATGTCCACGTCCAAGTCCTCCACGTCCACGTCCACGTCCACGTTCACGTCCATGTCCACGTCCAAGTTCTCCACGTCCACGTCCACGTCCACGTCCTCCACGTCCACGTCCACGTCCACGTCCACGTCCACGTCCTCCACGTCCACGTCCACATCCACGTCCACGTCCACGTCCACGTCCACATCCACGTCCACGTCCACGTCCATGTCCACGTCCACGTCCACTCCACGTCCACTCCACGTCCACGTCCACGTCCACCTCCACGTCCACGTCCACGTCCACGTCCACGTCCACGTCCACGTCCACGTCCACCTCCATGTCCACGTCCACGTCCACCTCCACGTCCACGTCCACGTCCACGTCCACGTCCACGTCCACGTCCACTCCACGTCCACGTCCACGTCCACGTCCACCTCCACGTCCGCGTCCACGTCCACGTCCACGTCCGCGTCCACGTCCGCGTCCACGTCCAGGTCCACGTTCACGTCCATGTCCACGTCCAAGTTCTCCACGTCCACGTCCACGTCCACGTCCACGTCCATGTCCACGTCCACGTCCATGTCCACGTCCATGTTCACGTCCACGTCTTGTTCACGTCCACGTCCATGTCCACGTCCACGTCCACGTCCACGTCCACGTCCACGACCATGTCCACGTCGACGTCCATGTCCATGTCCACGTCTACGTCCACGTCCATGTCCAGGTCCACGTCCACGTCCACGTCCACGTCCACGTCACGTCCACGTCCAGGTCCACGTCCACGTCACGTCCACGTCCACGTCCATGTCCACGTCCACGTCCATGTCCACGTCCATGTTCACGTCCACGTCTTGTTCACGTCCACGTCCATGTCCACGTCCACGTCCACGTCCACGTCCACGACCATGTCCACGTCCACGTCAATGTCCACGTCCACGTCCACGTCCATGTCCAGGTCCACGTCCACGTCTACGTCCACGTCCACGTCCACGTCACGTCCACGTCCAGGTCCACGTCCACGTCACGTCCACGTCCACGTCCATGTCCACGTCCACGTCCACGTCAACGTCCACGTCCACGTCCACGTCCACTCCACGTCCACGTCCATGTCCACGTCCAAGTCCTCCACGTCCACGTCCACGTTCACGTCCATGTCCACGTCCAAGTTCTCCACGTCCACGTCCACGTCCACGTCCACGTCCACGTCCACGTCCTCCACGTCCACGTCCACGTCCTCCACGTCCACGTCCACGTCCACGTCCACGTCCATGTCCACGTCCACGTCCACGTCCATGTCCACGTCCACGTCCACGTCCACGTCCATGTCCACGTCCATGTCCACGTCCACGTCCACGTCCACGTCCACGTCCACGTCCACGTCCACTCCACGTCCACCTCCACGTCCACCTCCACGTCCACGTCCACGTCCACGTCCACGTCCACGTCCACGTCCACGTCCACGTCCATGTCCACGTCCAGGTCCACGTTCACGTCCATGTCCACGTCCAAGTTCTCCACGTCCACGTCCACGTCCACGTCCACATCCACGTCCACGTCCACGTCCATGACCACGTCCACGTCCATGTCCACGTCCATGTTCACGTCCACGTCTTGTTCACGTCCACGTCCATGTCCACGTCCACGTCCACGTCCACGTCGACGACCATGTCCACGTCCATGTCCACGTCCACGTCCACGTCCACGTCCACGTCCACGTCCACGTCCACGTCCACGTCCACGTCCACGTCCATGTCCACGTCCACGTCCACGTCCACGTCCACGTCCACGTCCACGTCCACTTCCAAGTCGTCCACGTCCATGTCCACGTCCAAGTCCTCCACGTCGATGTCCACGTCCACGTTCACGTCCATGTCCACGTCCAAGTTCTCCACGTCCACGTCCACGTCCACGTCCACGTCCTCCACGTCCACGTCCACGTCCACGTCCACGTCCATGTCCACGTCCACGTCCACTCCACGTCCACTCCACGTCCACGTCCACGTCCACGTCCATGTCCACGTCCACGTCCACGTCCATGTCCACGTCCATGTCCACGTCCACGTCCACGTCCACCTCCATGTCCACGTCCACGTCCACGTCCACCTCCAGTCCACGTCCACGTCCACGTCCACGTCCACGTCTACGTCCACGTCACGTCCACGTCCATGTCCATGTCCACGTCCACGTCCACGTCAACGTCCACGTCCACGTCCACGTCCACTCCACGTCCACGTCCATGTCCACGTCCAAGTCCTCCACGTCCACGTCCACGTCCACGTTCACGTCCATGTCCACGTCCAAGTTCTCCACGTCCACGTCCACGTCCACGTCGACGTCCACGTCCTCCACGTCCACGTCCACGTCCACGTCCACGTCCATGTCCACGTCCACGTCCACGTCTACGTCTACGTCCACGTCCATGTCCACGTCCACGTCCACGTCCACGTCCATGTCCACGTCCATGTCCACGTCCACGTCCACGTCCACGTCCACGTCCCCGTCCACGTCCACGTCCACTCCACGTCCACCTCCACGTCCACGTCCACCTCCACGTCCATGTCCACGTCCACGTCCACGTCCACGTCCACGTCCATGTCCACGTCCAGGTCCACGTTCACGTCCATGTCCACGTCCAAGTTCTCCACGTCCACGTCCACGTCCACGTCCACGTCCATGTCCACGTCCACGTCCATGTCCACGTCTATGTTCACGTCCACGTATTGTTCACGTCCACGTCCATGTCCACGTCCACGTCCACGTCCACGACCATGTCCACGTCCACGTCCATGTCCACGTCCACACGTCCACGTCCACGTCCACGTCCACGTCCATGTCCACGTCCACGTCCATGTCCACGTCCACGTCCACGTCCATGTCCACGTCCACGTCCACGTCCATGTCCACGTCCAAGTCCTCCACGTCCACGTCCACGTCCACGTTCACGTCCAAGTCTACGTCCAAGTTCTCCACGTCCACGTCCACGTCCACGTCCTCCACGTCCACGTCCACGTCCACGTCCACGTCCACGTCCATGTCCACGTCCACGTTCACTCCACGTCCACTCCACGTCCACGTCCACGTCCATATCCACGTCCATGTCCACGTCCACGTCCACGTCCATGTCCACGTCCATGTCCACGTCCACGTCCACGTCCACCTCCATGTCCACGTCCACGTCCACGTCCATGTCCATGTCCACGTCCACGTCCACGTCCACGTCACGTCAACGTCCACGTCCATGTCCACGTCCACGTCCACGTCAACGTCCACGTCCACGTCCACGTCCACTCCACGTCCACGTCCATGTCCACGTCCAAGTCCTCCACGTCCACGTCCACGTCCACGTTCACGTCCATGTCCACGTCCAAGTTCTCCACGTCCACGTCGACGTCTACGTCGTCCACGTCCACGTCCACGTCCACGTCCACGTCCATGTCCACGTCCACGTCCACTCCACGTCCACTCCACGTCCACGTCCACGTCCACGTCCACGTCCACGTCCATGTCCACGTCCATGTCCACGTCCACGTCCACGTCCATGTCCACGTCCATGTCCACGTCCACGTCCACCTCCACGTCCACCTCCAGGTCCACCTCCACGTCCACGTCCACGTCCACGTCCACGTCCACGTCCACGTCCATGTCTACGTCCACGTCCACGTCCACGTCCGCCTCCACGTCCGCCTCCACGTCCGCCTCCACGTCCACCTCCACGTCCACCTCCATGTCCACGTCCACGTCCACGTCTACGTCCATGTCCACGTCCACGTCCACGTCCACGTCACGTCCACGTTCACGTCCATGTCCACGTCCACGTCCATGTCCACGTCTAAGTTCACGTCCATGTCCACGTCCAAGTCCTCCACGTCCATGTCCACGTCCACGTTCACGTCCACGTCCACGTCCACGTCCATGTCCACGTCCACGTCCACTCCACGTCCACTCCACGTCCACGTCCACCTCCACGTCCACGTCCACGTCCATGTCCACGTCCATGTCCACGTCCACGTCCACGTCCATGTCCACATCCATGTCCACGTCCACGTCCACGTCCACCTCCATGTCCACGTCCACGTCCACGTCCACGTCCATGTCCACGTCCACGTCCACGTCCACGTCACGTCCACGTCCACGTCCATGTCCACGTCCACGTCCTCGTCAACGTCCACGTCCACTCCACGTCCACGTCCATGTCCACGTCCAAGTCCTCCACGTCCACGTCCACGTCCACGTTCACGTCCATGTCCACGTCCAAGTTCTCCACGTCCACGTCCACGTCCACGTCCACGTCCACGTCCTCCACGTCCACGTCCACGTCCATGCCATGTCCACGTCCACGTCCACGTCTACGTCTACGTCCACGTCCATGTCCACGTCCACGTCCACGTCCACGTCCATGTCCACGTCCATGTCCACGTCCACGTCCACGTCCACGTCCATGTCCACGTCCACGTCCACTCCAAGTCCACCTCCACGTCCACGTCCACGTCCACGTCCACGTCCACGTCCACGTCCATGTCCACGTCCAGGTCCACGTTCACGTCCATGTCCACGTCCAAGTTCTCCACGTCCACGTCCACGTCCACGTCCACGTCCATGTCCACGTCCACGTCCATGTCCACGTCCATGTTCACGTCCACGTCTTGTTCACGTCCACGTCCATGTCCACGTCCACGTCCACGTCCACGTCCACGTCCACGTCCACGTCCATGACCATGTCCACGTCCACGTCCATGTCCACGTCCACGTCCATGTCCAGGTCCATGTCCACGTCCACGTCCACGTCCACGTTCACGTCCATGTCCACGTCCAAGTTCTCCACGTCCACGTCCACGTTCACGTCCACGTCCTTTACGTCCACGACCACGTCCACGTCCACGTCCACGTCCACGTCCATGTCCACGTCCACGTCCATTCCATGTCCACTCCACGTCCACGTCCACGTCCACGTCCACGTCCACGTCCATGTCCACGTCCATGTCCACGTCCACGTCCACGTCCATGTCCACGTCCATGTCCACGTCCACGTCCACGTCCACCTTCATGTCCACGTCCACGTCCACGTCCACGTCCATGTCCACGTCCACGTCCACGTCCACGTCACGTCCACGTCCACGTCCATGTCCACGTCCACGTCCACGTCAACGTCCACGTCGACGTCCACTCCACGTCCACGTCCATGTCCACGTCCAAGTCCTCCACGTCCACGTCCACGTCCACGTTCACGTCCATGTCCACGTCCAAGTTCTCCACGTCCACGTCCACGTCCACGTCCACGTCCACGTCCTCCACGTCCACATCCACGTCCACGTCCATGTCCACGTCCACGTCCACGTCTACGTCCACGTCCACGTCCATGTCCACGTCCACGTCCACGTCCATGTCCACGTCCACGTCCACGTCCACGTCCACGTCCACGTCCACGTCGTCCACGTCCACGTCCACGTCCATGTCCACGTCCACGTCCACGTCCACTCCACGTCCACCTCCACCTCCACGTCCACGTCCACCTCCACGTCCACGTCCACGTCCACGTCCACGTCCACGTCCATGTCCACGTCCAGGTCCACGTTCACGTCCATGTCCACGTCCAAGTTCTCCACGTCCACGTCCACGTCCACGTCCATGTCCACGTCCACGTCCATGTCCACGTCCATGTTCACGTCCACGTCTTGTTCACGTCCACGTCCATGTCCATGTCCACGTCCACGTTCACGTCCACGTCCACGACCATGTCCACGTTCACGTCCATGTCCACGTCCACGTCCACGTCCACGTCCATGTCCAGGTCCATGTCCACGTCCACGTCCACGTCCACGTCCATGTCCACGTCCACGTCCACGTCCACGTCCATGTCCACGTCCACGTCCACGTCCATGTCCACGTCCAAGTCCTCCACGTCCACGTCCACGTCCACGTTCACGTCCATGTCCACGTCCAAGTTCTCCACGTCCACGTCCACGTCCACGTCCTCCACGTCCACGTCCACGTCCACGTCCACGTCCACGTCCACGTCCACGTCCACGTCAACTCCACGTCCACTCCATGTCCACGTCCACGTCTATGTCGACGTCCACGTCCATGTCCACGTCCATGTCCACGTCCACGTCCACGTCCATGTCCACGTCCATATCCACGTCCACGTCCATGTCCACCTCCATGTCCACGTCCACGTCCACGTCAAAATAAAAAGAACAAGGGCCTAGCGTGTGCAAAATAAAAAGAACAAGGGCCTAGCGTGTGCAAAATTGAAAGAACAAGGGCCTAGCGTGTGCAAAATTGCAAGATCAAGGGCCTAGCGAGTGCAAAATAGCAAGAGAAAGGGCCTAGCGTGTGCAAACAAGCAAGAACAAGGGCCTAGCGTTCGCGAAATAGCAGGAGCAAGGGCCTAGTGTGTGCAAAATAAAAAGAACAAGGGTCTAGCATGTGCAAAATTGCAAGAAAAAGGGCCTAGCGTGTGCAAAATAAAAAGAACTATGGCATAGCGTATGCAAAATAGCAAGAACAAGGGCCTAGCGTGTGCAAAATAAAAAGAACAAGGGCCTAGCGTGTGCAAAATAAAAAGAACAAGGGTCTAGCATGTGCAAAATTGCAAGAACAAGGGCCTAGCGTGTGCAAAAAATAAAGAACAAGGGCATAGCGTGTGCAAAATAGCAAGAACAAGGGCCTAGTGTGTGCAAAATAAAAAGAACAAGGGCATAGCGTGTGCAAAATAGCAAGAACAAGAGCCTAGCGTGTGCAAAATAAAAAGAACAAGGGCCTAGCGTGTGCAAAATAAAAAAAACAAGGGCCTACCGTATGCAAAATAGTAAGAACAAGGGCCTAGCGTGTGCAAAATTGCAAGAACAAGGGCCTAGCGAGTGCAAAATAGCAAGAGCAAGGGCCTAGTGTGTGCAAAAAATCAAGAACAAGGGCCTAGCGTTCGCGAAATAGCAATAACAAGGGCCTAGCGTGTACAAAATAAAAAGAACAGGGGTCTAGCATGTGCAAAATAGCAAGAACAAGGGCCTAGCGTGTGCAAAATAAAAAGAACAAGGGCCTAGCGTGTGCAAAATAAAAAGAACAAGGGCATAGCGTGTGCAAAATAAAAAGAACAAGGGCCTAGCGTGTGCAAAATAAAAAGAACAAGGGCCTAGCGTGTGCAAAATTGAAAGAACAAGGGCCTAGCGTGTGCAAAATTGCAAGATCAAGGGCCTAGCGAGTGCAAAATAGCAAGAGAAAGGGCCTAGCGTGTGCAAACAATCAAGAACAAGGGCCTAGCGTTCGCGAAATAGCAGGAGCAAGGGCCTAGTGTGTGCAAAATAAAAAGAACAAGGGTCTAGCATGTGCAAAATAGCAAGAACAAGGGCCTAGCGTGTGCAAAATAAAAAGAACAAGGGCCTAGCGTGTGCAAAATAAAAAGAACAAGGGCATAGCGTGTGCAAAATATAAAGAACAAGGGCCTAGCGTGTGCAAAATAAAAAGAACAAGGGCCTAGCGTGTGCAAAATTGAAAGAACAAGGGCCTAGCGTGTGCAAAATTGCAAGATCAAGGGCCTAGCGAGTGCAAAATAGCAAGAGAAAGGGCCTAGCGTGTGCAAACAATCAAGAACAAGGGCCTAGCGTTCGCGAAATAGCAGGAGCAAGGGCCTAGTGTGTGCAAAATAAAAAGAACAAGGGTCTAGCATGTGCAAAATTGCAAGAAAAAGGGCCTAGCGTGTGCAAAACAAAAAGAACTAGGGCATAGCGTATGCAAAATAGCAAGAACAAGGGCCTAGCGTGTGCAAAATAAAAAGAACAAGGGCCTAGCGTGTGCAAAATATAAAGAACAAGGGTCTAGCATGTGCAAAATTGCAAGAACAAGGGCCTAGCGTGTGCAAAAAATAAAGAACAAGGGCATAGCGTGGAAAAAAGCAAGAACAAGGGCCTAGTGTGTGCAAAATAAAAAGAACAAGGGCATAGCGTGTGCAAAATAGCAAGAACAAGAGCCTAGCGTGTGCAAAATAAAAAGAACAAGGGCCTAGCGTGTGCAAAATAAAAAAATCAAGGGCCTACCGTATGCAAAATAGTAAGAACAAGGGCCTAGCGTGTGCAAAATTGCAAGAACAAGGGCCTAGCGAGTGCAAAATAGCAAGAGCAAGGGCCTAGTGTGTGCAAAAAATCAAGAACAAGGGCCTAGCGTTCGCGAAATAGCAATAACAAGGGCCTAGCGTGTACAAAATAAAAAGAACAGGGGTCTAGCATGTGCAAAATAGCAAGAACAAGGGCCTAGCGTGTGCAAAATAAAAAGAACAAGGGCCTAGCGTGTGCAAAATAAAAAGAACAAGGGCATAGCGTGTGCAAAATAAAAAGAACAAGGGCCTAGCGTGTGCAAAATAAAAAGAACAAGGGCCAAGCGTGTGCAAAATTGCAAGAACAAGGGCCTAGCGTGTGCAAAATTGCATGAACAAGGGCCTAGCGATTGCAAAATAGCAAGAGCAAGGGCCTAGCGTGTGCAAAAAATCAAGAACAAGGGCCTAGCGTTCGCAAAATAGCAAGAACAAGGGCCTAGCGTGTGCAAAATTGCAAGAACAAGGGCCTAGCGAGTGCAAAATAGCAAGAGCAAGGGCCTAGCGTGTGCAAAAAAATCAAGAACAAGGGCCTAGCGTTCGTGAAATAGCAAGAACAAGGGCCTAGCGTGTGCAAAATTAAAAGAACAGGGGTCTAGCATGTGCAAAATAGCAAGAACAAGGGCCTAGCGTGTGCAAAAAAATAAAGAACAAGGGTATAGCGTGTGCAAAATAGCAAGAACAAGGGCCTAGCGTGTGCAAAATAAAAAGAACAAGGGCCTAGGGTGTGCAAAATAAAAAGAACAAGGGTCTAGCATGTGCAAAATTGCAAGAACAAGGGCCTAGCGTGTGCAAAATAAAAAGAACAAGGGCATAGCGTGTGCAAAAAAGCAAGAACAAGGGCCTAGCGTGTGCAAAATAGAAAAAACAAGGGCCTAGCGTGTGCAAAATAAAAAGAACAAGGGCCTAGCATGTTCAAAATTGAAAGAACAAGGGCCTAGCGTGTACAAAATAAAAAGAACAAGGGCCTAGCGTGTGCAAAATTAAAAGAACAAGGGTCTAGCATGTGCAAAATTGCAAGAACAAGGGCCTAGCGTGTGCAAAAAAAAAAAGAACAAGGGCATAGCGTGTGAAAAATAGCAAGAACAAGGGCCTAGCGTGTGCAAAATAAAAAGAACAAGGGCCTAGCGTGTGCAAAATAAAAAGAACAAGGGCATAGCGTGTGCAAAATAAAAAGAACATGGGCCTAGTGTGTGCAAAATAAAAAGAACAAGGGTCTAGCATGTGCAAAATTGCAAGAACAAGGGCCTAGCGTGTGCAAAAAATAAAGAACAAGGGCATAGCATGTGCAAAATAGCAAGAACAAGGGCCTAGTGTGTGCAAAATAAAAAGAACAAGGGCATAGCGTGTGCAAAATAGCAAGAACAAGGGCCTAGCGTGTGCAAAATAAAAAGAACAAGGGCCTAGCGTGTGCAAAATAAAAAAAACAAGGGCCTACCGTATGCAAAATAGCAAGAACAAGGGCCTAGCGTGTGCAAAATTGCAAGAACAAGGGCCTAGCGAGTGCAAAATAGCAAGAGCAAGGGCCTAGCGTGTGCAAAAAATCAAGAACAAGGGCCTAGCGTTCGCGAAATAGCAAGAACAAGGGCCTAGCGTGTACAAAATAAAAAGAACAGGGGTCTAGCATGTGCAAAATAGCAAGAACAAGGGCCTAGCGTGTGCAAAAAAAAAACAAAAACAAGGGCATAGCGTGTGCAAAATAGCAAGAACAAGGGCCTAGCGTGTGCAAAATAAAAAGAACAAGGGCCTAGCGTGTGCAAAATAAAAAGAACAAGGGTCTAGCATGTGCAAAATTGCAAGAACAAGGGCCTAGCGTGTGCAAAATAAGAAGAACAAGGGCATAGCATGTGCAAAGTAGCAAGAACAAGGGCCTAGCGTGTGCAAAATAAAAAGAACAAGGGCCTAGCGTGTGCAAAATAAAAAGAACAAGGGCCTAGCGTATGCAAAATAGCAAGAACAAGGGCCTAGCGTGTGCAAAATTGCAAGAACAAGGGCCTAGCGAGTGCAAAATAGCAAGAGCAAGGGCCTAGCGTGTGCCAAAAATCAAGAACAAGGGCCTTGCGTTTGCGAAATAGCAAGAACAAGGGCCTAGCGTGTGCAAAATAAAAAGAACAAGGGTCTAGCATGTGCAAAATTGCAAGAACAAGGGCCTAGCGTGTGCAAAATAGCAAGAACAAGGGCCTAGCGCATGCAAAATAAAAAGAACAAGGGCCTAGCGTGTGCAAAAATAAAAGAACAAGGGCCTAGCTTGTGCAAAATTGCAAGAACAAGGGCCTAGCGTATGCAAAATTGCAAGAACAAGGGCCTAGCGAGTGCAAAATAGCAAGAGCAAGGGCCTAGCGTGTTCAAAAAATCAAGAACAAGG